CATCAAAGACTCAGTGGCTAATATTTGTCAGAATTATTCATTCCCTTCCTCTTCTTCTGTCTTTACCCATTTTTTCTGATCTTTATTATGCTCCCTCTGGTTCTTCTTTATGTGTAGCATTAAGTTGTAGAATTTTGTTAGAATGAATAGGAGATGTATATAGAGATTCTTGAAGAATACACACTTTACATGCGTAAATCCCTGTTGAAAGTGTAGACACACTTTTTGGAATTTTGTTTAAGATACTACACGATTGATTAAGATCCTGTAAAAGAGATGCTATGTAAAAGCAAAATAGTTGTATTTTTTTTTTTTTTTTTTATCAGAGGCTCACTCTGTCACCCAGGCTGGAGTGCAGTGGCATGCTCCTGGCCACTGTACCCTTGGCTTGCTGGACTCAGGCAATCCTTCCACCTCAGCCTTTCAAGTAGCTAGAACTACAGGCATGCGCCACCACACCCAGCTAATTTTTTGATTTACTGTAGAGATGAGGTCTCGCCAAATTGCCCAGGCTGGTCTCAAACCTGTGGGCTCAAGCAATCCTCTCACTTTGGCCTCCCAAAGTGCTGGGATTATAGGCATGAGCCACCGTGCCCCATCAGTTGTAAATTTTGATGGCACATTATCATTTTCATTATGAATATAAATAATTGAATATTAATAAGGCACAGAATGAAGGTTTTCACTGTGATAATGCCTCTGATTGTAATTAGAAAAAAATGAAATAAATGAGACAACTGTGTTATTGCATTTTTATACTAGCATGCTTTTTGGAAAGCAACTAAATTGCTTTGTCACCTCCATTTTTAGAAAGCATAAGGTTAGAAAATACAATAAAACTGAACATAATTTCCAAACAGAACTGAGAGTCATTAGTCTGTAAGATATTTGAAATCATATCAAAAAGCAGAATTTATGGCCCCATGAGTTATGGAAAAGGAAATTGAATTGTGTTTTATTTTTAAAGGACAACTACTAAAAAGGTGTTTCCATAGTAACAAGGTCACTACCAGTAGCTGTTACAGACCTTCTCCTTTTCTGATAGTGGGTTTAAAGATTTTTTTCAAATACCACTTTAAAAGCCCCATGAAAAACTACAGCTATTCTAATCATTCATCTGAACCCAAAACGAAGAAAACCACACATGGAGTATTGAATTTCTCATGTTTTATGGATTATAAGTATTCATGGCTGTTATATTTTCAAAAAGAAGCTGCCTGACTAGCTACAATGCCAGCTCCTAACCATGGGATTTAATTAGTCTGATTGTAAATCAAGACAAACAGAAGTTGTTTGCAGTAGTATTCAAATAGAAATAAAAGGTGGCACAGGATTAAAAACATACTTCTTTAACATCTAAATATTGAAAGAGTTAAGCAAATAATCCTGTTATTAGAAAAATTTCAAAGACAGATAAAATATTGAATCACTACCACAGGAAGTCAGACAGATAGGCCCCATTTTGTTTACAACATAAGTAAATAGCTCTTTGGTCATAAAATCAGTTCATTTAGCCGTACCAGGAAGTGGACTCCCCTTCCTCTTTCCTCTATATGAAAGGAAACTGCCTAGATGATAGTCATTTGTATAGCCTTTCCTTCTTCACTAAACTGGGAGTCCTTTGAGAACAGATACATTTTATGTCTCTTTGTAGTCATGATAGTATCTCACATGACATTTTGTATATAAAAAATACTGAAAAAAATAAGTGGAGAATGAATCATGAAAGATAATCACACAACAGTAACTAAAATAACTCAAAGTCTCTGGTTTAATTTTAGAAACAATGTGTCAGTTAAAAATGTGTACTCGTGATTTTAATCTCTTTAAACTGAGAGGCTCTAGATCCTTGTTCACAGAACCACCAACTATTAAACAACGAATCCAATTGCCTAGGCCCTGTACCAAATTCAGTCCGGTTCTGACATGCAGAGCTCTGGCATCAGTATTTTGTAAAGCTACTCAGATGATTCTAATGTGAAGCCAGTGTTGAAAATCATTGCTTTACACTGTTCCTCCTGGTATAACTAAGGATTAACTTATTTACCTCCTACGTTAGCTATTTTCTTCTCAATATTACCTCATAATACTGTATTTACCAAGTTTAGGCTGCCTTTTATCATTACCTAAAGACTTGTTCCCTAAAATAATTTTTCATAATAAAAATTTCAAAGTATACAGCTAAAACTTTTAGCCAAAATTATTATTTATTATATTCTGTTTAATATACTTTTATTAGCTTTTTGTTGTGAATTCAGCTTTTGAAAACCAGAGCTGAATAATAGACTCTAGGCCAGGCTTGGTGGCTCAGTCTGTAATCCCAGCACTTTGGGAGGCCAAGGCAAGTGGATTGCCTGAACCCGCGAGTTCAAGACCAGCCTGGGCAGCTTAGTGAGACCTCGTCTCTACAATAAATAAAATAACTAGCCGGGCATGGTAGCACATGCCTGTAGTTCTGGCTACTTGGAAGGCTGAGGGGGAAGGATCGCCAGAGCCCAGCAGAGTAATGCTGGGGTGGCCATGAGCGTGGCACTGCACTCCAGCCTGGGTGACAGAGTAAGACTCTAACTAAAAAAGAAGAAGAAAAAAAACCAGACTCTAAATAAATATCAGTAGAATTAGTAAATGCTTTTGGGCTTTTTTTTTTTTACATGCACCTTTACCTGGGTCTATAATGCCTTTTACCCTTTTATCTAGAAAAATTCCAATTCATCTTTTAAAACACCTAGATCATATTTTTCTTCCTCCAGGAAGCTTTCCCTGATCTAATCACAGAATTTAGTATGTTCTCTTTTTTGGCACTGCCTCATGCTTTTACTTTGCACTGACCATATTGTACTATCACTTCTTTTTCTTTCTCATTTTTTTTTTTAAAGTCCCTTCTTTATACTTGATTGTGAACAGCTTTCAGCAGGTGTTAATTCATGGCTCTCTCTGCTCTTTTTCTCTCAAGTTACGGCACAATAGCTGGAAACAATAGGCACTCAATAAATTTTTACCAAATGAAAGAATAAATGGCCATATTGAAGCGAATCAATTGCATTTCAAAACCATTATTGCTATGGATTGAATTATGTCCCCTCCAAATTCATAGGTTGAAACTCTAACTTTCAACGTGTTTTTTTTTTAGTATTTGGAGATGAGGCCTTTGGGAGATAATTAGAGTTAGAAGAGGTCATAAAGGGAGGGTGGCGGTCTCTCACGATGAGATTGGTGCCCATATAAGAAGAGACACCAGAGATTACTGTCTCTCTCTGCCATGTGAATACACAGCAGGAAGACTGCCCTCTATCAGCCAAGAAGTAGGACTCTCAGCAGAACCCAACCATACGGGCACCCTGATCTCTGACATCCAGTCTCCAGTACTCTGAAAAAATAAAACTTCTGTTGTTTAAGCCACTCAGTTTAGAGTGTTTAGCTATGACAGCCTTAGCTGACCAATACAACTATGAGTCAGGATTAAGATATTTGAAGAGAAAAATTAATATAGACATTACAGAAATTTTTGCTTTCTCTCATTTATTTAAATCCTTTAAAGAGTAGGGGTTTGCTTTTTTAAAGAAAAGACGATCAAATGCAGTTAGACTAGATATTTCATACTTTCTTTCAAATATACTTGAGGCTTTTTTGTGGCATTTTTCTGGTAAACTAAGAAGTCTATCATAAGCAAATTTGGATGAAAGTGAAGTAATTTTGCAGAGCAATAATTAGCCAATAGGAAAACATAAATTACCTTGGGGACTGCTTCATCAATGAGAAAAATTCACCAGGTTTCCTTTTTACTCACAAATACTATTCGTTGACTAACCAGAATTCCTCACATTGCACTAGACATGTTGTCTTACATTAATTGTACTTTGTCATATTTAGTTTAGAGAAAATATTTAAGATGTCATGGGAACTCCCAAATGTATTATTTATTCAACAAATATTTGTTGTATATTGTGGTAATGTAACTCCATGTTTAAAGCCAATTTAAGCTAGTTTCATTCCAGCATTTTCTTGGGACTATGAATATAAACTACCCAGTCTTTATCTGGAAAATCTATTCTATAAGAAAAGCATAAAAACTGTGTAGTTTATTTTTTATTTGTTTGCATCAGTCTCACTCTGTCACCCAGGCTGGAGTGCAGCAACATGCTCACGACCACAGCAGCCTCGACCTGCCACTCTTTCCACTTCAGCCTTCCAAGTAGCTGGAAACACAGGGATGTGCCACCACACTTGGCTAATTTTCTTTTATTTATTGTAGAGATGAAGTCTCACCAAATTGCCCAGGCTGGTCTTGAACATGTGGGCTCAGGCAATCCTCTCACCTCAGCCTCCCAAAGTGCTAGGATTATAGGCGTGAGCCACCACGCCCAGCCTAAAACTGTGTAGTGTAAATGAAGTACACACATTTTAAAATTTTGTGAATGAGTACATTTTTAAAAGTTTGGAAAACCAATATCAACTTGTCAAAATTTTACCAATTGGCAAAAAATAAAATAAATAAAATAACATTAAAAACAAATAAATACCACTTTAGCTATCACCATTAGTTCACAAATGGCATAGTATTTTAACACAAAATAATTATAGAATGTAATCTTAAAAAAGAGTGAGGGTAGTTTTCAAAGTGATTAATTTAATTTAATGGAAAAAGAAACCAAACCACTCACTATGTTCTTTATTCTCATATCATCCTAGACTGGTGAAACTTTGTTCTTGTTTCCCACTATTCAAAATCTCTTCTTTATTCTAACTTTTTGGGTGACCAATAAAATAAGTAAACCTGGTTTAATCCCATGAGCCTTGCAGGGTTAAAATGAAAAATGTTCAGTTACCTATAATAATTTTCACTTACCTATAATTACTTTCTCTCATTTTGCCAAATACTAAGCATAAATGATGTTTCTGATACTATGATTATGTTACATTTCTACATTTACAATATGTCATATACACATCCATGTAAAGGCTATAAATTAAAGACAAACAAATATAACAATAAAACTTACATGTGTGGACCCAATGAAACTGCCCTTGTTGCTACAATTCCAAGAATCAGAGTTGTTAAAACTGTAGAAATAAGGGAGACCTGCAAAAGAAAATGTAAAGATATCACCAATTTAGAATGGAGACAATTTTGCTTAAAATATTAAGTCTTTCTCTTTTCTTTTACTTGGGTAAACTTATGCATGGACTTGTCTACCCAATTCTTTAGTTGGAGTTTGAGTTGGAGTCTTATTCTGTCACCCTAGTTGGAGTGTCGTGGCACATTCATGGTCACCGCAGCCTTGATCTGCTGGGCTCAGTTGATCCTCCTGCCTCAGCCTTCGAAGTAACTGGAACCACAGGCGTGCACCACGACTCCCAGCTAATTTTTTTTATTTATTGTAGAGATGAAGTCTTGCCAGGTTGCCCACATTGGTCTTGAATCCCTGAACTCAGGCAATCCTTTGCCTCCACCTCCCAAAGTGTTGGGATTACAGGCATGAGCCACCACTCCCAGCCTAGTTTATTTTTATAGATGGATGTTGATAATGCCAAGCATGTAACTTCTTCTTTTTTTTTTTTTTTTGAGTTGGAGTCTCACTCTGTCGCCCAGACTGGAGTGCAGTGGCCGCTGGGCTCCGGGATCCTTCTGCTTCAGCCTTTCAAGTAGCCGGAATTACAGGCATGTGCTACCACGCCCGGCTGATTTTTGTTGGTTTGTTTGTTTTTTATTGTAGAGATATCAGGTCTCAGTTTTGGTTCCCTCCCTGCACCCAAAATAAGTAAGCAAGCATCACTCTAACTATTGTTATAATCGTGCAACATGGCTACATTTTTACTAGCTTCCTGTATAGAATATACAACAGGCAAATATAACTGAAAGTAAAAATGAAATTATGTTGGGTTTTTTTTCTTCAGGCCTATTTTAGTGTTGATTTGTGGGTTTTTTTCTTTCTTTTTCTTGAGTTGGAGTCTCACTCTGTCACCTAGACTGGAGTGCAGTGGCAGCTTCTGGCCATTGTAGCCTCGACCGGTTGGGCTCCGGCAATCCTTCCTCCTCAGCCTTCCAAGTAGCTGGAACTACAGGAGCGCGCTACCTTGCCCAGCTAATTTTTGATTTATTGTAGAGATGAGGTCTTGCCAAATTGCCCAGGCGGGTCTCAAACCCGCAGGCTCAGGCAATCTACTCACCTCGGCCTCCCAAAGCACTGGAATTACAGGCTGAGCCACCGAGCTCAGCCTGATTTGTGCTTTTTAAAAAAAATCTGTAATTGCTTCTCCTTCTCTCTTTATCTTACCCCTCACCCTTCCAACATAACACACATAACTGCCTCTCCCAATATGTTTTGGGGGATGCTTCAGCTTTTTCCTCCCTGCTTTCTAGCTCAGTTAGTCTGTTTTTCCTATGTGGTTCTGCCCTTTGGTCTGTGTTTCTAGGTCTGTTTTGCTTCTTCCTTTCTGTTCTGTCACTATTTCAACTGGTTAAAATACAAACTGGTCTGTGTGTGTATGTGCCCCCTGCACTCATTATGATAGGTCTGTGTTTCTAGTCGTAACTTTTTAATGAATAAGCACATTGTGGATTTTTTCCTCTGATAAGAAACAATGAATGTAAAATTGCTTTTATTTCACATGGTTCTCATTAACCTTGTTTTCTAAGTTGTTAATTTTTAACTAGAAAAAAATTTCTATTATGAATCTGCTGGTCCTCTGAGGAACAGAGAGTTAAGTAACATCCCCAAGGTCACAGCTGGAACGTGGCAGAGAGAGAACTCAAATGCAAGCGACCTGACTCCAGATATGAACTTCTGCCTAGTCTGCTTTGCTCATTGTGAGATTTGTTTGTTTGTTTTTATTTTTGAGATGAGGTCTCACTCTGCCACTCAGGTTGGAGTGCAGTGGCATGAAAATGACGATCACAGTTCATGGCAGCCTTGACCTCCTGGGATCGGTTGAGCTTTCCACCTCGGCATCCCCAGTAGCTGGGACTACAGGTGCACATCACCATGCCTGGCTAGTTTTTTGATTTTTAAATTTTTTGTAGAGATGAGATGTTGCTATGTTGCCCAAGCTGGTCTTGAACTCCTAGGATCAAGCAATTCATCTGTCTTGGCCTTTCAAAGTGTTGTGATTTCAGGCATGAGCCACCACACCTGGCCAGGAAATTTATTTAGATTTTTTTTTTTTTTTTTTGAGTAGCAGTCTCACGCTTGTCGCCCATGTTGGAGTGCAGTGGCACGCTCATGGTCACCGTAGCCTCAACCTGCTGGACATAGGCAATCCTTTCACCTCAGCCTTCCAAGTAGCTGGAACTACAGATGCACACCACCATGCCCAGCTAGTTTTTGTGATTTATTGTAGAGATAAGGTCTCACCAAGTTGCCCAGGCTGGTATCGAATCCCCGGGCTCAGGCAATCCTCTTGCCTTAGTCTCCCAAAGTGCTGGTATTACAGGTTGAGCCACTGTGCCTGGCCAGGTTTTTTTTTGTTTTTGTTTTTGTTTTGAGTAGGAGTCTCACTCTTTTGCCTAGGCACGAGTGCAGTGGCATACTCACGGCCACTGCAGCCTCAATCTGCTGGGCTCAGGTGATCCTTTCCCCTCAGTCTTCCAAATAGCTGGAACTACAGGTGCGCACCACCATTCCTGGCCAATTTTTTGCTTTATTGTAGAGAAGAGGTCTCACCAAGTTGTCCTGGCTGGTCTCGAACCCCTGGACTCAGGCAATCCTCTTGCCTCAGCCTTCCAAAGTGCTGGAATTATAGGTGTGAGCCACCATGCCCAGCTAGACATTTTAATATGACACTTTTAGAGACATTTAGAAAAAAATGTTCAGATATTAAGAATATGAGTCATTGCCTTGCTAGACTGTGGTGTGGCCATGTGCTCTTTGAGTTATGGCTGTTACCATGCTTCTTGGCTTTGCCCCCGTCCCCCACCTTGGGGAGGTGAATCTTCTCTCTCTCTCTCTCTCTCTCTAGTTTTCTTTTAAATAAACTATATTTTCTAATTTAAAAAAAGATATGACAGAATATTAGTAGCTTTCCTCTTACGAATGCCTTGCTCTCTGCTCTCAGAATATAACATTCATGTTTACACTGAATATGTGAAATGGAAAATAGTTCAATCGTTTTAGAGAATTCACAAAAAAGCACCTTTTGATACAGTCTTGTGTATTTCTGAATGACTGTTAGGGATGGAGGGTGTCAGAAAACTGTGAAATACTGCCTCCACCCTCAGCTCCACCTGGAAGTAAGGACTTCATAACTGGATACATGACATCAAACATCCCAGTGAAAAGTAAAGTTCAGTCAACTGTTGAACTTTCCAAAATAGAATATGAAAAACTATATAAATAATTATTTTTAAAAGTTATGTGTAAGAATGCTTAGCATCATGTAGACATAGCAGCAACAATATTTTGGGTAAAATACAAATATTTCATTTTTTTTGAAAGCAGAATTTATTAAGAGGACAGAAAAGGTCCCACAGTGGGAAGGGATCCAAGGAGGTTGCCCCAAATATTTCTTGAGAGTAAGTGCAGATGAACTTATGGAGTGAGTTGAATAATTATTTGGTTGCTTTCATTAGAAGAGTTAAGTTTTTCTCTTTAGTAATAAGAATCATAAATATTGATCAAATTCACAAAAATTGATCAATCAACACATTGACATTTCAATTCAAGGTAAAGTACAAGCATAGTAGACGTAATTTACACATAAAAATATTTAAAGCCATTACAGTGAGTCACCCTTCTTAGTTTAAATTTAGACTGTTTAAACTACCTACAGAAAAGGCTGAACACTTTTCCAATAAATTAGACTTATTTTAAATATAGTTATTGAGGCCAGGCATGGTGACTCATGCCTGTTATCACAGAACTTCGGAAGACTGGCAGGAGTATCGCTTGAATCCAGGAATTCAAGAACAGCCTGGCAACACAGCAAAACCTTATCTCTACAAAATTAAAAAAAAAAAAAAAAAAATTAGCCAGGCATTGTGCTGCTACTTGGGAGACACAGGGAAAAGGATCACCTGAGTCCAGGAGGTTGAGGCCGTGGTGAGCTGTGATTGTGCCACTGCACTTCAGCCTGAGCAACAGAGTGAGACCTCAACTCAATAAATAAATAAATATAGTTTTTTTTATATTTTCTAAGTTTAAAAAGCGCTGTCTGACTTCCATTATGGTACATACCTTAGGAAAGAAAAAGGAAGAACATATTTAGTTCACACTCATCAACTATTTAACCATTAGTTTTCAAAAACAAGCTAATGATTCAACCACAGTTTACTCTGGCATAAGCATAAATAAACGAAAAGAAAGTGAATATGATTACTTTACTTAAGAATTCTGCCAAATAGACAGTAAGATCAGTGCAGGTAACAGGGTGCATTTCCATGCTTATTTAAAATGCAAAATTTACCTTTCCAAGCTTTGCTATATCTCGGTACAAGGACAAAGGCAGAGTAAAGGCAACCGTAGAAAGTCCAATAATGAAGTGGCGACCAATAAACAAGTTTCCAGAATCAACTAAAACACAATAAATATTATTAAGTCTCCATAGGTACAAGTAACATATTGGTGACACAACTAAATAGCCAAGCATTTAGTTATAAAAATTACCTAAACATCAACACTACCTCAATGACAGGAATTTTGAGTGAATAAACTCCACAAAACTATGTAAAAATAGAAATAAATCGCAAACCTGTAAATGCAAAATAACTTAAGAATAAACCTATACCTTAAATGATGTTATAATATCTTACATTCAAATTATTTCAACATCCTTCTAATCAGTTTCCATGCTTCTTTGTTTCCTTAGAGAATACTCTTAAACCAGAAGCTACAGAAATCCTTTACAAAAGTAAAAAAAAAAAAAATCATGTCATTACCTATTCAAAGCCCTCAAATACAAAACCCTTCATGTAGAATGTAAGCTGCAAGATGACAGCACATTTTTTTTTCTTTTGAGTTGGGGTCTCACTCTTTTGCCCAGGATGGAGTGCAGTGGCACAATCATAGCTACTGCGGTCACAGCCTCCTCTCAAGTAGCTGGAACTACAAGTGCATGACAACAACCCCAGTTTAGTTTTTTATTTTTTGTAGAGACAAATTTCACTATGTTGCCTAGGCTGGTCTCAAACTCTCGATCTCAAGCAATTCTCTTGCCTTAGCTTCCCAAAGTGCTGGGATTACAGTCATGAGCCATCATACCTGGTAACAGTACATTTTCTAAGGTTGTTTTCTTTTTTTTAACTTCTGTATCCCAAGAGACTTGAACAGTAATACTTACACAATATTTCAAAAATCAAGATTTATGAAAATACATAATATAGCTCTATACTTTTGTCAAGAAGGAATTAATATCCCTGAATGACAGAAGCAACTTGTTGGATTGGGCAGAGGTCACAACAGGAAGCTCCTGCAACTAGTATACACTGTAGATTCTTGGTGATGGTGATGAATAAATGCAAATAAAAATAATAGGATATAGACACACATATATAAAACAAAATAGAAAGAGAAGTTTTAAACATAAAATGAAACATACTTAGAAGGAATCAAAATAGTCACTTAAGGAACTACATATCTATTCCAATGAAGACACCATTGTTTAATTTTAGACCGGCCGATTAAAATGTTTCTATCAGGGAAAGTTAAATTAATTATGGTCACTGCAACTGTCTGGTAGATACTATACAGGAGAATATTGAACTTCCATTAAAGCATGATATGAGAATATTCTTTTAAAATATGACTCAGAGAAAGAAGCACACTAAAGGACAAGATGTATGGTAGTATGTTACTCTTATGAATATCTGCAATTACATATATTCTTAAAACTCTGAAAGTTTCCATTAAAAAGGAAGGAAGCAGCCGGGCTCGGTGGCTCAGCCTGTAATCCCGCGCCTTTGGGAGGCTGAGGTAAGTGGATTGCCTGAGCCCGCGGGTTCGAGACCCGCCTGGGCAACTTGGCGAGACCTCATCTCTACAATAAATAAAAAATTAGCTGGGCGTGGTAGTGCGCGCCTGTAGTTCCAGCTACTTGGAAGGCTGAGGCGGAAGGATTGCCGGAGCCCAGCAGGTCGAGGCTGCAATGGCCGGGAGTAGCCACTGCACTCCAGTCTGGGCGACAGAGTGAGACTCCGACTCAAAAAAAAAAGGAAGGAAGGAGAAAAAAAAGGAAGAGTGTTAGAAGAACTGTCCCTACCTGACTGTCTCAAGGGGAAGAGATTATTAGTGTTTTCTATTTTCCCCATTTTGCTTATCTGTGTTTTCTAATATTTTCCCAATAAATATGTATTATTTTTCAAATAAATAAATGTTTAAAATTAGCAATTCTCCTTTGAAAAATCTTGGGAAAAAACAAAGGAAACAAAAATTCCATGGATCACACAATTAAAAGATAACTACAGTTTATATGTTAATATATTTCTGTTATTTTTTCTTGCATTTGCAAATATAACATTTACATAATTTAGATCATATTGTGTGTATAATATTATATTCTGCCCATGTTCTCTTAGCATTCTATCCACCCACATGATCTCAATTTATAAAATCGTGATTGAAAGACTAGGGAGGGTCTAGGACAGATGCTACAGACAGTTCAGGGTATTAATAATAATAGCTTACATTACCAGTAATGTAAGCTTACTATGTGGTAGGTACTGCCTGAATCATCTCTTTTGTTTCCCACAACAATTCTATGAATCAGGTAAGTTTGTAATTCATAATGTAGAGGTGAGGAGTCAAACTCAGAAAGAATAACCAACCATCTCAAGGTCACACCACTAGTAAGCAGTGGGTCTGTGATTTGATAGCCAAGCCTCCTTGATCTCAGCTTCCACTAAACCCTGTGAGAGGAACAGCTACAATTTCCAGTTCTAGGTTCTGTTTCATTTTGTTTTGTATGTCTCTAGAATGAGTGATTCAAGCATTAAAAGGAGAGGTATTATTCCATCAATCTCTTCAACTATAATAACAACCATAGAGTTAGATCACAATGAAATGGGGATTATGAGAAGCTCTTCAAAGCAAAAAGACTCACAATCTCTGAATGACTCTCATAACCATGACATAACAAAAAGCAGAATAGGGAGTGGAGTTGTAGCAACATGTTGAAAAGGTCTGCTTGAGAATGTTCATAGAGGCTTTTTCATAATCACCCCACATTGGAAATAACACAATGTCCCTCAACTAGATGACAGATATAGTTGTACATCTATAAAACAGAATGCTTCTCAGTGATAACTTTTTTAAAAACAGCAAACTACTGATTCACCTAAAGACACAAATGAATCTCAAATGCACCTTTTTAAGCAAAAGAAGCCAACCTCAAAAAAGCTATATATCATATGATGACACTTATCTGGCATTCTGGAAAAAGCAAAACTATAGGGAGACAAATCTCATTTGCAATTGCCAAATTCTGGAGATTAGGAAAGGTTTGACTTCAAATGAAGTTGGAAAACCTGAGAGAGTGATGAAATTGTTCTTTTTTCTTTGTTTTTGTTTTTGTGTTTGTTTTATTTTGTTTTTAACAGATGAGATTTTGCTATGTTGCCCAGGCTGGACTTGAACTCCTGGGTTCAAGCAATCCTCCTGCCTTAGCCTCCAGAGTAGCTGGGATGACAGGAACACACGACTGCTCCCAGCTTATTCTGTATTTGGATTATGGCTCTGGTTAGTGACTATATGCATTTGTCAAAACTCACAGAATGTACATCTTGAAGGGTTAATTTTGCTGTATTCAATGATACCTTAATATAAATAACAGGGAAAATAGCTTGCTTATTTAAAAAATGATGTAGTATCAATAGTACATGAAAAAAATGTTACCACAGAAAGCTGGTGATATGAAGCATAAGGAATTTAAAATATAAAGTATTCTAAGTATACACATATACACATATATAGTAGTAACATTTTTTCAAACAGCCAAATAAGGAATCAATTATATATAAAAGTAGATCAAAACTTCAAGATCAGAATGGATCATAGAAACCTGAGGTAATCCAATTACTCCATTTAAAAATATTTTATTTATAAATTATTATGAGCCACATTAACTATAAATATCTATATAAAACAAATATATTTAAATCTTCAAAATTTTTATTTTGGCTTACCTCCAGGAATTCTTTGAAAGACTTTGCTCAGAGTATCTCCAGCTATTATGTTGTAACTTATCATAGCTAAAAACATAATTAAAATGATATATTCACCAACAAGCCATCACATATTCATCCTGAATATTTTGAAAGCAGACAGTTATTACCCCAAATATTGGCATAATTCTGTTATCCTCAAATATATGTTATAATTACCAATTTGGGCAACTTTAAAAATAACTAAACAACAGATTTGTAGTGCAGTATCAATTTGTATTACAAAAAGATTTTCACTTTAGAAATGGATTCACCATAGAACACCTTTAAATAGTAAGTCTTGGTAGTCACTTCAAATGCAGTTTATTTTGTTGTTAAAGTTTAGGTTTCCAAACACCTTTTCAGGAACACATGTACTGCTTAAAGTGAGGCATAATAATAGAAAATTTTAAAGGCATCAAAATACCCCCTCAATTGAAAAAGTAAGACTTTTTGGGACGTATATTCATAGGCTTCAATGGAGACATATGGAACTAGTAGTTTGAACAATATTTTCTATAGAACTGACTTAAAAAATGAAGTCAAGGCCAGGCTTGGTGGCTCAGCCTGTAATCCCAGCACTTTGGGAGGCCGAGGTGAGTGGATTGCCTGAGCCCACGGGTTCAAGACCCGCCTGGGCAACTTGATGAGACCTCATCTCTATAATAAATGAGAAATTAGCCAGGTGTGGTAGCGTGCGCCTGTAGTTCCAGCTACTTGGAAGGTTGAGGCGGAAGGATCACCAGAGCCCAGCAGATCGAGGCTGCGGTGGCCGGGAGCAGCCACTGCACTCTAGTCTGGGTGACAGAGTGAGACTCCAACTCAAAAAAAAAACCAAAAAACGAAGTCAATTTAGCCATTGGAGAATATTAACATTTTATTTATTTAAGAAGTGCTAGGTGACATTTTCACCATTATAATACAAATTTTAAATAGCATGTTGGCCTAGTACATGGCATCTACAAATCCTTAGGTTAACAACAAAAAAAAAGTAGAAGCCTTAGGAGAAGTCTGTTATTTCTCATTCCAGATCATTCTGCTTTTTATCAAATAAAGAAAGCCCAAACAGTAACCTGATGAAAATAACCCTCATTTTATTTGAAAGAAATATTCATAAAATAAATCAAAAGGGCTAGAAAATAAGGAAGAAAATAATTAAGGAAACAAACATTTAATTTTGATATATTTCAGCTGCTAATATTCTTGAATGACTATTGAAAGTATTTTTAATCAGAAATGACTGTGTTATGCAAATAATTTCAATATTCATCTTCACAATCATCTTACCTATAAATGGATACAAAAACTGAAGAACAGAAAGAAGGAGATACCCTGGAAAGCCGAAGGTTTTATTGACCAAAGACTGGTAGGTGTCTGTTCCAGAGAGAGCCCCGCCTTTTATCAATAAAACAAGGGAAAAGTCTGTGGCAAAAATAATGATGAAATAAATGTCAGATTACACTTAATACAAAGTTTTTTCATGTTTTCACTTAATAACCATTGAGAAAATGGGAAATTTAGAGAAGTGTTTAATTTAATGCTATAGTATTAATATAACAAAACTTTCTTTTTGTAATACACCACCATTTTATGCAACTGTAATGTTTTCAGCCATATATTTTCCGATAAAGATGCAAATAACAGGAGAGAAGAGGAAACAGACTAGAGTCAAAGTGTCAACATTCTATTACTGCCGGGCTCGGTGGCTCAGCCTGTAATCCCACCCCTTTGGGAGGCTGAGGTGAGTGGATTGCCTGAGCCCGCGCGTTCGAGACCCGCCTGGGCAAATTGGCGAGACCTCATCTCTACAATAAAATCAAAATAAGCTGGGCATGGTAGCGCGCGCCTGTTGTTCCAGCTACTTGGAAGGCTGAGGCGGAAGAATCGCCGGAAGCCCAGCAGGTCGAGGCTGCAGTGGCCGGGAGCGGCCACTGCACTCCAGTCTGGATGACCAAGTGAGACTCCAACTCAAAAAAAAAAAACCCACAAAAAACATTCTATTGCTTTTCTGACCTTCAGCAATTGTTATAAGGTCAATTGTCCAAGGAACAGAATGCAGGTAATCAGAATGCAGGTAATCAAATATTTCATAGGTATTCAACGTGTGAAAACTGAGGATGAAAAATGCTGCAAGCATTTAAAAATAATAGATCTAGGAGAATCAGAGCATTCAATTTTATAACAAAATAAAATCAGTAACTTTATTTCATAGTAATATGGTTAAGAGATACTTTAGGAAATGTTTTTGTTGACATTTAGATTTTAGAAATTTCATGTATTTGTAAAATTTCTGAAGTTTCCCTATATTGATTCTAGTTTTATACCACTGTTTTCGGAAAACGTAGTTGATGTTATTTTCATTTCCTCATATTTGTTACGACTTGTTTTGTGGCCTAACATGCATTCTATCCTGGAGAATGTTTTATATGCAGTCAAGAAAAATGTATGTTCTGTAGCTGTTAGATGGGATGTTCTGTAAATGTCTTTTAGGTTTATTTGGTCTAGAGTGTATTTAAATACAAAATTTCTTTTTTTTTTTTTTCTAGATG